ACTCACTATTGCACGCTCCTTCTGCAGCACCCTCTGCCTTTGGTAATGGTCCTGTGAACGGTACGCGCTGTACCTGCGGGGGGCGGGGTCGTCAGCCCCAGGACCAGGCGACTCGGGGCCCAGAACTTTTCGGCTCCCCACCCCGAGGCACCGCCTCCCTGAGCACGTGCTCACCGCCACCTCCGGTCACTTCTCCGGTGCGGGGACGGGGACCGCGACCGGCCTCGGGAACTGGAGGATGAGGATGAGGAAGACGAGGAGGAGGAAGAGGACGAGCATCTTCGGGAGCGTCCAGAGGAGCTGCAGCTGGACCTGCAGAGAGAAAGGGCACACGGGAAGGCTGGGCGCAGCGCAGGCAAACTCCGCTCTCCCACCGGGCCCCGGCGCTGCCTCTGTTCGCAAGCTCAGGACCAAAGACAAAGCAGAGCAGAAAAGTCCAGAAGAACATGTTTTCTTCACAGACTAACAAGCCGAGGCCCTTTGTGGAGCTTTAGACGTATCTGGAATGTTTTGGCAGAGAATCTCAATGGCACAGTCACAAATTTAAAAATGTTTAACAAATCAGGAAGAAAAATAAGTAGACTCGGGGAGTTAAAGGTCTGGGCCCTAGGTCTCACCACCAGCTCCCTGTGGTACTGGGGCCAGCATGGGTCTCAGGGTCACTACTTCTCCTACCGTTTCTCCTGGGAACACTGATCATGGCACAAAGGGAGGTGACTGTGCTAGACCTGCAGTAGCAGCCACTTCCGAGGATATGTATCATCTCCAAAACCCAAGGATTCCTCATTAAGTGGGAAAGCTTAGGTCTGTTACTGAGAGAAAAAGATGCTGCCAGGAAACAGATGAGACCACGGGACACCCAAAGGAACTGACCCCCACACTTCCGTCAACAGATGATTAAGGGAAGAACTGTCTTCTGTTAACAATACACTGACTATCCCACACAGGACTGAGGAAGCATGCCGAAGAACCAGCACGGTCGAGATCAAACCCTGACAGTCTCCCCAAGGCAGGTCTCAAGGGAGCAGACCTCAGGGGTGTCCCAAACGCCAGCAAAAGCTGTCATCTCAGTGTGCCTGCTTCAACAATCCGGGAAAGGGGAGAAGACGAGGGCCAAAGACGGAAATAGATGGCGTAGGGGCTGGACTCGGCGGCTCAGCCTGCAGTCCCAGCACTTTGGGAGGCCGAGGTGAGTGAATTGCCTGAGCCTGCGGGTTCGAGACCCGCCTGGGCAACCTGGTGAGACCTCATCTCTAC